CCCGTTCACGAAGCGCCGGTTGTACTGGATGCGACGCTTGGCGCGGCCCGTCTTCTTCTTCTTCTTCTCCTGTTTGTCCACCTACAGACAGACAGAACCTCATCTGTCTTACACACCACCGCTAATATTACGCTTCATTTAACAAACAAACAACAACATATAATGGACTTACTTTGGGTGTCTGTCCTCTCACTTTCCCGGCGCGAGCCAGAGATCCGTGGACTTTACCTGATCAACACAGACACACACACATCAACTAATGAGAATATCACCATCAAGATGAAGAAATATTGATCTTTGTGATATTATTTTAATATAAAAAATATATATATAATATATATATAAAAAGAAATGAAATTATATATATAATTATATTTAATATTAAATATTAACAATTTTTGTGCACCAGGGTCACATATATGAATTGACACAAAAGTATAATTTTTCCTCATACCTCCCAGAAGTCTGGCGGTCAGCTCAAGAGTGCAGTGCTCGGAGACGCCGCAGCTCAGCAGCTCAGCATCGTCCTCCAGAGGAGCTCCAGCCAGCAGAAGCACCTGCTCCTCCACAGACAGACCCTCCAGAGCCTGAACACGAGCCTGCATACAGAAGAACACACAGCTCAGATCACGGACTCGAGATGGCTGCCAGAGAGGAGAGGAGAGGCTCACCTTCAGGTCGCGGACGCTCTCGTGAGCGGACACATGGAGCGTGTGCAGAGTCTGAGCGCGCAGGAACAGCTGCATGATGAGCTGAACACAAACCAACAGCAGATCAGTACATTCTCACAAACACACTCTCACTGCAGCCTTGCAGAGGCTACTGGTGACAACCTTAAACATCATTTGGAACCCTTTAAGAGTTACTTGTAACATTTTTAAATGTTTAACAACTTTTTTTTTCTTTTTTTAAGTTAAAAGCAACAGTTTTTCAAATGCTAAACATTTTTTAAAGCTAAAAACAACATTTTTAAAAGTTCAAAGCAACAATTTTTAAATGTTAAACTTTTTTTCTTTAAAGTTAAAACCAAATTTTTTAAAAGTTAAAAATCAACAAATTTGTTAAATGTTAAACAAAAACTATTTAAACTTAAAACTAAGCAACCGTTTTTTAAAGTGTTAAACAACGGTTTTTTAAAGCTAAAAACTAAATTTGTAAAGTTACAAGGAACGATTTTTAAAAGTTCAAACTAAAAAGTGTTGCTTTTTAACTTTTAATCTTTTTTTTAAGGTAAAAACAATTTAAACTTGAAACTAAGCAACAATTTTAAAAATGTTAAACGCAACAATTTGTTTAAGTTAAAAACACATTTTTTTGAATTTTTAAAAGCTAAACAATTTTTTTTTTTTGAGTTAAAATTAACAAATTTTAAATATAAAAATGCAATAATTTTAAATGTTAAATGCAAAAAAAAAAACATTTTAAAAGTTAAAACCAAAAATTAAGTTTAAAGCAACAATTTTAAATGTTAAATGCAACAATCTTAATAAAAAAATTAAAAGCAACATTTTTTTTTTTTACATTTAAAATTTTTTTTTTAAGTTAAAAGCAAAAGTTGTAAACGTTAAACAATTTTTAAACGTTACATACAACAATTTCAAATTTAACATGATATACTTTTAAATATTTAACTATTATAAACGTTAAATGCATGCAACATTTTAAACGTTATTTGTAACCATTTTAAATGTAACAATTATGGTAACATGACGAATGCAACAATTCCAAATGTCAACTGTAACATTTACTGTATACACACACTCACTCACTCACTCTCAAACAAACAAACAAACAAACAAACAAACAAACAAACAAACAAACAAACAAACAAACAAACAAACAAACAAACAAACAAACAAACAAACAAACAAACAAACAAACAAACAAACAAACAAACAAACAAACAAACAAACAAACAAACAAACAAACAAACAAACAAACAAACAAACAATTTTATTTTCTTCAGAAGCTTCGTCTGACTGCATCCATCTCCTCACAGATCCCAGCACATGTTTAATAAGAGTACATGAAGAGTAATAAGAGTAATAATCGGTGTATCTCTGAGGAAACCGCTGAGAGCGCCAGAGAGAAACACGCGGCGCACATAAACGCGCTTTAACGCCTCATTCTGACGCATTTCTGCTCGAGATGTGGCTGTAAAACACGGGAACACGTATCACAGACATTCACGCATCATTAAAGCACATTAAACACCTCAACCGCGACAAATAAGTGACTTGATCAGCAGGCCTTACATTAGATGATGCGAGTCGATCCGCAACTGGACGAGAAAAGGACAGCGCGCATGCGCGGCGCAAAGAACTCTGGGAAGCGCGCTGCCCACGTGACCGCCACGTGTCTTCTTCTTTTTGTTCAATGGCCGTTCACTCCTTAGCAGCATTACCGCCACCTACTGTATATCTTGCGCACATGAGTGATGAATCTGTACTGAAGGAAAAAAATAATAATAATAATAATTTTGTAATGCCCCACCCACCCCAGAGCTTCAGCTCCTCCAGCTTCCACACTGTGCTCCTCATCCTCAAACACTAAATCCTGTGAGCTCTAGACATGTTAAAACCACCTTAAACATCTGACTATCACTCAAACCCTTTCCCAGAAGCTCCACGACACACTGGGCTGTTCCTTATATTGCTAAAAACACTGTTACGCTGATCTTCATATTTACTACATTTAAAGAGCACATGCTCTACTGTTTCAAAAACACCACATTCATCACACATACCATTTTCATGCTTCCCCATTAATGCAAGTGTTGAATTTAGTCCTGTGTGACCCATCCTTAATCTAGAAATCATTACTTCTTCCTTTCGGTGTCTTCCATAAAACTGTTCTTTTTTCCCTACTGATTTTACAATATTATAATACCACCTACCTGTGCTGCTATTTTCCCATCTTTGTTGCCATATTCTTATTATTTCCCTATTAATTACTGATTTTATCTCATTCCTTCCCAGAGGTACCTTAACATCCACCAAGTTTTTCTTTTGCTAACTTATCCTCTGTTTCATTCTCTACTATCCCGATATGTGCCCAACAAAAGTATAGGATTATACCCTCTATTTTCAGTCTGTACAGTAATGTATACATTTCTACTAGCAGGTCTTCTCTATCAGTTTTTGTCGACAATATACTTTTAAGAGCTGATGAAGAATCTGAGCTAATTACAGTCGGAGTCCTATTTGTCTTAATCTGTTCTACCCACTGCAATCCTGTTATTATAGCAGTTCATTCTGTAGAATATACGGACAATTTGTCACTTATTTTCGTCTTACACTCCTATGCCCACTTTTTGTTTGACTGGGTCTTTAGATCCATCTGTATAGATCTGTATAAAAGAATAAAAATGTTCTCTCATAAAAACATTGATTTCATAACTATTAGTATGATTTTTCCCGGGCCTCCAACAATCTCATTTCAACAATGGGTTCAGGAATATTGCATTTAATGGCATGTTGGGACAGATTTCTTCATTCTCCAGACCACAATCCTTGACCCACTGTTCATACTTCCAACCAAAACTATTCCCTCCATTCTTTTTATATTCCCAACAATCATTTAAAATTGTGCGTGTACGATGACTCTTATTACTAGATTAACCCAAGCTTTTCTCTTCTTAAATCTAATGGCATCTCCCTCGTTTCGACTCTGATGGCATCTAGAGGAGTTGCTCTTATTGCTCCACAGCAGACTCAAGTGTTCTGGACTGTATGTTGTCCAGTTCCTTTAATTCTGCACTGCACACCCATAGTCTATACTAGACCGTATTAAGGCTTGGTATACATGTAACAGTGCACCTTTCCTTGCTCACCATTCATAGCTATTGAAGTCATGCAATTTATTCCTCCTTTGCATTTGTTTTCAATTTTCTTAATATGTCTCTTCCAAGTTAATTTTTCATCAAAGGTTAATCCAAGATATTTGAACTCTAACAATTGTTCATATAATTTCAGAGTAATTTGTTCCTTTTTCTTTGTAAAACCCATATATTGAGTCTTTGATACTGAAAACTTCTGACCACCTTTCAACTTCATTTATTGATTCTTGTATTCCTTTAACTACATTTCCTAAATTCCTACCTCTTCTCCATACTGCACCATCATCTGCATATAATGCCTTCCCAATGCTTGGTTTAACTCTTTCAAATATATCATTAATCATTACATTAAATAAAATTGGACTGATTACACTTCCTTGTGGATTTTCCCTTCCTCTTCAATTACAGGGATCTGTTTATAATTATTAACACCATTCCCGTCACGTGTCGGTGAATCATTTTTATTTAATAAAAAGTGAATTTTTTTTTCCTCTGGCAGCTAATAATGTTAATTTGATGATGTGAATATGTAATACCTCATGTTCTTGTGGCATTGAATTAATAAAGCATTACAAATAAATAAAAATAAGTCTTGGTTCAACGAACCTGTTCACACACACACGCACAACAATAATAATAATAAAAAGTGAATATTATACACGAATGATTTAAAATGCTCTTTTTCTGAATGCTCCACTGAAACAATCTCTCGCTTGTTTTGGTCCTGCCAGCACTTTTTGGAATAACGTGGAGGTTTTCATTTGTTGATAATAAGCTATTTTAAACACATTTTCCTTCTCTTATTAACATTTGATTTTGGGTTATTATATCAAGGATCGCTCTTTAAAGGATGTTGCATTTATTATAAACGTTATTTTATTTTTATGTAAATTTCACATTCATAAATGCAGGTTTACAATGAGCAAACCTTTTATAGCGCTTGAAAAATAAATTAAAAATGACAAAATCTAAAAATAATAAAGCAATTAAAAGTTAATATACGTTCCTCCTTTAACATTTTCACTTAAAAATATATTTAACGGTGCTAACCTGCAAAGTACATTTTCTGTATTAAAATTGCATTGCAACATTCTATGAAGTGTCTGATTAAATATGTATAATATATATTTGTCTGTAAACTGATGCGTATTTACCCTCTTTTTCTCCTTGATGCGTGTGAAATCTTCTGTTATACAGAGGAGATGGCATTATACATGCTATTTGTTTTTACATTAAAGCATTAATAAAAACAATCAGTAATTGTTGGATTGCACATTAACGTATTCTGCTTTTTACCTAAATCATAAGAAAATATTTTCATTCTTTGTCATCAGCATCATGGTTACATTACAGCATGGTTTTCCAAACCGGGATTCAAGAGGTGATGAAAAGCTAATTATTAAATTATAAAAATGTCAAATGAAACTAATTATGCAGCCTCTTCATTTTCTGAATAATTAGTCACCTGACTTAATAATGTGTGCAGGTCCATACAATTGAAAGACTTTCTGTATGTTTATAAGCAGTAGGATTTTTTAGAGAGAAACATTTAAAAATGAAAAAAAAAAGATAATTAGGGCGAATCAATATTGTATGCATAATTTACTGCCATTGTGTAAATATATGTAATTTACATATATTAAAAAAAGCAACTGTAATCTGATTACAAACACTACAGTACTTCCTTTCTGTAATCTGATTACATAATCCAGATTACTCTCTCTGAGTGTGTGTGTGTGTGAGAGTGTGTGTGTGTGAGAAAGTGTGTGAGTGTGTGAGAAAGTGTGTGTGTGTACACTACCTGTCAAAAGTTTTTGAACAGTAAGATTTTTAATGTTTTTAAAGTCTCATCTGCTCACCAAGCCTGCATTTATTTGATCCAAAATGCAGCAAAAGTAGTAATATTGTGAAATATGTTTTTTTACTTATTAAAACAGCTGTTTTCTATGTGAATATCTATTAAACTGTAAATTTCTGTGATGCGCAGCTGTATTTTCAGCATCATTACTCCAGTCTTCAGTGTCACATGATCTTCAGAAATCATTCTAATATGCTGATTTGCTGCTCAAGAAACATTTCTGATTATTATCAATGTTGAAAACAACAGAGTGGAATTTTGTTCAGTTTTCTTTGAATAGAAAGTTCAGAAGAATAGCATTCATCTAAAATGGAAATCTCTTGTAACATTATAAATATCTTTATCATCCCTTTTGATCAATTTAAAGCATCCTTGCTAAATAAAAATATTAATTTCTATAATTTCTTTCCCAAATATATATATATATATATATATACTGACTCCAAGCTTTTGAATGATATAGTGTAAATGTCACAAAAGCGTTTTATTTCAGATAAATGCTGATCTTTGGATCTTTCTATTCATCAAAGAATACTAAAAAAATGTACTCAACTATTCTAAATATTGATAATAATAATCAGAAATGTTTGTTGAGCAGCAAATCAGCATATTAAATGATTTCTGAAGATCATGTGACACTGAAGACTGGAGTAATGATGCTGAAAATACAGCTGCGCATCACAGAAATACATTACAGTTTAACAGAGATTCACATAGAAAACAGCTGTTTTAGATTATAATAATATTTCACATTACTGCTCTTGCTGTATTTTGGATCAAATAAATGCAGGCTTGGTGAGCAGAAGAGAATTCTTTAAAAAAAAACATCAAAATCCTATGGTTCAAAAACGTTTAACTGGTAGTGTATTTAAATTATTTTATATACACACACATACACAAGTTATAACTTGGCTTTTATCAAGTAATTTATTCCATTCTATATGTTTCTATTGTTACATTGATTTCTGCAGGTTTGGGCCTCATTACTCCGTTACCAACTTCTCTCAAATTACTTCAAATCTGATTTGTTTTAAAATTTGAGTGATTGTAGAGGATCTGAAGCCCATTATTACAAACCTTTCTGATCACCGCATAGCTTTTACCCTCCAACTTAACCCAGATTCATATTTCAAAACAGCGTCAAATTGCATTGACTTGATGTGACAAACTGCAACTGTGTACTACAGTCAGCATTATATAACAGTAAACTATTATATAACTGAAATAAATCAAGCACTCAGACGTGTGGGATGTCAATCTCTTTATTATGAAACCAAGTCAAAATAAAAAAGGTCTTCATGTTTCACGCTTCTCTCTGAAAACAGGATCACACGGAGGAGCAGAGATGAGGATCAAGTCTTCCAGACGAATGTCAATGTGTCCGCGAACACAACTAAACCTCCAGAAGCACTAAACCAACTCGGCTCATTAAAAACTCGCTTGCACTTAGAGGGAAAAGAGCTCGTGCCAAAAACAGAAAGCACACCGCGTGTGATTGGAGACGGGATGAATGCTGAAGCTGAAGGAGCAGTAGAAACGGCCGGCGCAGTCTGTTATGTTGGAGGCGGTGGGTAGTACTGGTTATACTGACCGTACTGACCCCAGGAGCTCTGACCGCCCCACGAGTTATACTGCTGGAACACAGAAAACACAGTCACATGAGAGACC